ATAGCGGGTGAAGGCTTGTTGGGATTTAGCCATACCAGGTTAAAGTGGTATGGGGACTACAGGTGCCTAACTCCCTATTCAGGTGAAAGTGGCTCCAGTATCTGTCAAAGAAACACTTTGACTGGCCTTCACTCAAATGTCTTACAGTAAGGTCCTGCCTTACAGTCCTTATACAGATCCTCACTCCGTATGCAGGTGAAAGTGGCTCCAATATCTATCAAAGAAACAAATTGATTGGCCTTCACTCAAAAGTCTAATAGTAGGTTCCTGCCATACACTTGATGTGGAGTCTAATAAGTAGTGGGGTGGTTCACTTGGTCTAGTTTTGGACACATACGGGAGAGTTTGTTTGAGATAAGTGACTTGGGAATTGGGCAATTTGATTAAATGGATTTCTACAACTTCACTTCTTTTCAAAAAAAAAAAGGAAAAAAAAAAGAAAAAAAAATGCGACAGCTTTGATGGACCACTTGACCTTTTTTCATAGCAAAGATGCAGGTCTTGGGCATGAGGCAGCTCCTGATTTAAAGAGGAGGGCTCTGATGTATAGTAGGGCTGCTGATGTAAAAGAGGGTAGTTTGGTATATAGAGGGGCTCTTTGTGTGAAGGGTAAGGACTTTTATCTGTATGGGGGTATGTGTTCCCTGTCTGCAAAAACAGCCAGATCTCTTAGTAAAAGCAGCACATATCCCACACATTACACTTAGCAGGCACACTGTTAACCCTTTGATTGCCCCTTAATGTTAAGTCCTTCCTATCCAGTGTTATTAGTACATTGTCAGTGTACAGTATGATGCTGATCACTATATTAGCAACACTATTATGTTAGCATCAGTTAGTCAGTTAGTTTACCTCCCCATCAGCATAAGCTAGGACAAGATTGCCTGCCACACTATCACAGTCCCCACTACAGGTCTCTGATCACCGTCATTACCAGTATAGTGTTATATCTGAATAAATTCCAATATATATACAATAGTTTGTAGCTTCTAAATCCTTCACACGGACCAATTAATATACACTTTTTATCAAAGACCTGAAGGAGAATACATTTTGGCTTAAATTTATGAAGAACATGTATTTTTTTTATTGGATATGTTTTATAACAAAATTTAAAAAAAAAATAGGTTTTTTTTTTAAATGTTTGGCCTTTTTTTATATATATAAAAAAAAAACCCCGTGTGATCAATACCACCAAAGAAATCTCTATTTGTGTAAAATAAATGATACAAATTTCATTTGGGTAGTTTTGTATGACCGAGTAATTGGCAATTAATATAGCATAGTGCTGGTTAACAAAAAATTCCCTGGTCATGAAGGGTGTAAAACCTTCCGGAGGTCAAGTGGTTAATAAAATAAATTGCCACAGAAAATCATGAGGTACTCTGTCAGCACCACTACCAATGGTGATCATCATCAGGAGTAATTCTGGCTGTTTCTGAACAACTTTGCATTACAGTCTCACATGCTATTATGTTGCTTACGTAAGCTCCTGGTTGTCAATACCAATGGCTAGCTGGAATTGTGACTCAAAGCTGAACTGTCAGTGGGTGCTGGGAAATGACAAATGATTGACAGATCAATAGCGTTTTTGTGGAGCTGCTGCTATTTATGTTGGCATGGAATTAGGTTGGTTACTTTTAAGAGAAATCTATATTTTTTGAGTTATTGACAATGCAAATGCCTGCCAAATATTTTTTTTTTATTTTTATTTTAGACGTTCTATTTTAACCTGTATATACACCTGTAGGTGATTTCTGTGAGTAGTAATAACAATACTATTATAACCATAAAATAACTGAATAAAGTGCTTGTTGTACTCTTCATAGTATACCATATTTTTCTGCAATTGTCATTATGAGTTTTGGAATATTGAATAAAGATACCTCTATCTGTTAGTAAATCATATATGGTCAAGGATCTGTACACATGGACTTTCAAATCCAATAGATGTAATAAAGGTCTTATAAATATTTAATATAATAATACCACAGTTTTTAAACCGTTTTAGATAAATACCTATATTCTACGTTTTTAGTCTTCTTTTTACACTGTTTAGAAAAACATGACAGAAAAGTAGAAACAGGTACTGAATGTTCAGAAAGAGACTGATTAAGATAATAGAACCTGTAGAGAGTAAAAAAAAACCTCTGAATTCTAATACTCAAGAGACATATAAATAAAAAATTCTAAAAGAAACAATGCCTGCTTGTGATAAAATCAATAAACAGCAGTTTGAGGTAGATCATTACTTTAGTCTGTATGGCTACTCAATTAGGCAAGACAAAGACCAGTGCTGATGTGCAAATTGTGGTCATGAAACCTATTATCTACATTTTACCTTTTGCAAGTTTAATGTAAAGATTATTATTCTAACATTTGTAAACTTATAGATTTGCTAGTATGGCTAAATGAATGTTGAGCATTGTTTTACTTAATGGATCAGTCCACCCACAAGTGAAACTTTAGAAGGACTCTGATAATGAGTCTTCCTTCCCCATGATATTTCCCTTGATTCCTTACAGCTTGTCTCAGCAGAATTGTATCCATGCCACTTAGTTGTTGCCATCTAATTAAAAAATAAATTAAAAATTAATCACGAAGAGCGTCCTTCGAATTTAAAGGCAGAATAAAAAAACATTTGGTGGTTCAACTCTCCAGCATGTGCTGAGAACTGAAAAATTAGTTTTGGGTGGACTGATTCTTTAAATAAGCTAACAACTGAACTCTTCTTTCAGTTACAGTTGAACTTATGAATTCCATGCAAGTAAACATATTTTATTTAATTTCTATATTTATTAGGTGTATAAAAAATAAAGCATGAAATACAAAGGCAGTATGGACTGTGTGTTTGTGCTTTGTTGCAACTTTAATACCCTCTGGTCAGTTAGAAGTACAAAGGAATGCTTGTAGATACTGCTCACCTGCTTAATAAAGCAGAGATCCCTGTGCAGAAAGTTTCAGAGCACGTAAGGACAGGAAAATGATTTTATAGTTGACTCAAGCAGGAATAGTTTCCAGGGTGCTGGAGAAAAATACTTGGACTCTAGTGGAGACGTGACTGAAATAAAAAAAAAAATCTGTCAACATCATTCTTCTTTCCATACAGTTGCGTTGATAAAGGATTTATGACATGAAACTTGCAAACTTCCCCCCATTTAAAAATAATTATCACCCCTAGATTTTGCAGCTGCATCTCAATTCTCAATTCTACACAGCTGATTAGTTTTTGTATTAGCAGTTTAAATTCATTGGTTTGTTATTTTGGGTTTTAATCAAATATTAAAACATTTTTTAGCATGCTAGTTGTATTTTGACAGTCACTTCTAATTTAAATCCCCCTAATTTAATATTAAACTTTGACTGTAGAATATATACATTTTTAATCCATAGTAAATTGACTTGCCACACACAGAATGCCAGTAAACTGTATAAACCATTAATGGCACAGTTTTTATTTTAAAATAAATGTGCATATGGTTTGCTACTTTGTAGATGTTATTAAATTAGGGTATTTGTGTTACAGGGGATATCTAGTGCCTAATTATTTAGAATAAGAAATGCGTGAATAAAATTCCAAATTGGATGAACTGGTTAATTCAGTGAAACTCTTTTTTTTTTTCTTTTCGTGAATAAGGAATTTTTTCAATTTGCTGAAATATGTATATGCAGATTAGTAGATAAGCAGTAATGTGAATGCAGGTGATCAGATTACAGAAACTGCATGGTTCTGAAAACAAATCTGTGTGAAAATATTCTGGAAATTAAAAATGCAGGATCCACCAAAGAGAAGTTACAGTATCTGTGCCACATCATTTCCATGTTGTACTTTTTTTTTGTGAAAAGTTATTTCTAACCTGCATTCTATTTACCCAAATAGTATATTTAAAACAAATTATTACATTTCAAGAAAAAATCGACATATTTTTATAATACTGTCAAAATGATATATTGATGGTTAATTCCTGAAAGGTGTTGATAATCAATAAATTGTGTGAACATTAGCTTCAATTTACTGAAAGCAGATGTCTGTTTATTTGTTTCATCTGCACATGACTGAGTATATAAAGTGTACAGGAATTTGCTGTTCCCGTGAATGGATATTTAAGTGTAATATTCGCTCAATTTATTGAGTGATTATTTTCAACTCTTTTAGTATATCACTCATATTTCTGTATAAGTAAAATTTGTATGGTGTTGCACTTTTCGCTAAAATTCTTTTTATATAGAAATAGAGCTCAGGTTTGCTAATGTAAAGTAAAGACATTCAAAGAATCTGATATCAGCATTATCTGTTTAAAAGCACCAAGAATCTGATGCAAGTATACATTTTTAAAAAATGATCGGAAGCAGGAGTTAAGGATTTTGGATAAAAGGTGCTGTACTCTGTGACCAATAATACAAGACCACAGATGAGTACCATGAAAGACTTTTTATTAAATGACTGCCAGGACACTACAAATGCCAATGTGACCTTGTGGAGGCACAGAAAAATAATCATTCTAAACAGAATTGAAATTCCTAATGTTAAAGGTGCTGTATGAAGATAAACTATCTGTCTCCGATAGTCAGACGGTTTCCATAAGTCAAACAGACTAACAGCTGATTCTTTACCAAGCTGCATGCCGACATGACACTGCGTTCACTCCTTGCTTATCATAGCTGCAATTGTCTTATATAATATATATGAGGGCATTTTACATTAAAAAAATATAGGCTTGAGATTAATATACTTAAGAAAAGTTATAATACAATATTTTATGAATATTTTTTAGCTCTCAGTAAAAAAAATGCTATTTAGCACAGTTGTGTTGTTATTAATTTGTCCAAAGCTGGCTGCACAATACAACCTGATTACACAAGCTATAGGGTCCATGCACACTGGCTTAAAAAAAACGTCAGCGCTCTTGGCAGAAAAAAATGCCAACTTTGAGGGTCCATGCACAATGGCTTAAAAAAAGGTCGCTGTTAGAGCAGTTTACCATTTTGCTTGTAACTAATATTATCCTAAGTTTCCATGTACATTAGATCGTTTAGAGCAGGGGCGGACTGACCATTTGGAAACTCGGGCACTGCCCGAAGGCCCAGGGTCAGTAGGGGGCCCCATGAGATGCCCCTGGTACCTTTTTCATAGGCTTTTTTGAGTTTGGGCAAGGACGCAGGGGCCCCATGATCCCCTATTGCCCGGGGGCCCCATGAGTTGTCAGTCCGCCCCTGGTTTAGAGCAGTGTTTCTCAACCTTTTTTTCAGTCAAGGCACCCATTAAAATTCTGCACAATCTCAAGGCTCCCCATTCTAAAATGTAAAAACCTACACTAATAGTTTTACATAATTCAGCAACATCCACACCAGTAGGACACCCAACATTAAAGTGTTACTAAACCAACAACAGTAAAATCAGTCTGTATATGCAGTAAAGCTTGCTTGTTATACTCGCTGTGGAACCTAAGGAGTCAATCCTCTGGATTGTGTAAAAAGGCAGTCTGATCCTTTCTTCTCTGTTTCTCCCCTTTTTCAAGCGACCACCTCTTATCTCCTGATAAGACAGACTGAACGGTAGGCACATGCCTAATTTGGTGTGTATTGCTAGAGAGGTTTTTTTTTTTCTTGGGAGAGTGCATGTGATCAGCACAGGGCCAATCAGCACTGTCCAGACAAAGGTCAGGGGTTTTGCATCCACCTAGAGCAGAAAGAGAACTCCTCCTACAAGCTTTAGCTAGTGCTTGGCTGGACACTGATAGAAGTCACAAGACTGCTCTAACTTCTGATGAGAAAAGGTATTTAGCAGTTTCTATTTACTAAAATAATTGAATTTCAATGTTCTGTGTACTGTGGGAGACCAGATATAGTGAATGCAAAACACTCCTAAACGCTGCTAAACACTCCTAAATGTTAGTACAAGAAACCCTCAAAGTTAGTATTTTTTTTTCTGCAAAGAGCATTGGCTTATTTTAAGCCAGTGTGCATGGATTCAAAAGCGTTTAGGAGCATTTAGCATTTTTTTTTTTTCTGCCAGAAAATCACTCTCGTCTTTTTTTCCTCTGACGAAACGCATCAGGGCGAGGCTACATGACAGCATCTCACCTGGAAGTCCGAAGTCGGCTATTTTTTTCCCACTGATGTTTATCCTTAAGGGGGCAATATGTGGAATATTTAAAAATGTGATTCATCTAATCCACTGGAGTTTTAGTGCACTATATTTATGAGTAGTTCTTTTTTTTTTGGGGGTCTAATAATGCAGTGTGTATATACTGCAACATGGGAAGTTATGTGTTTTCTTTTTTTCTGCTGAATGGGCTGGATCCTGGGTTACACCCTGGTGGATTGAAGTAGTGAATAGATCCAGGTTGCTGGGAAAGCGTATGTTGACCTTACCTACAGTATTTGTAGGTGAATTATTGAGGTAAGAAGCAGCAGTGAGTGGTGGTGGCAGACAGTGGTGGAACACTTTTATACTTATATTGGAGAATGCATGTGAAAATATGCATGGATATGTTTATGGAAGCACACAATATGAGGTCATTGAAGATTAAATATATAAAAAGGACTTGGGTTTATTTATATGTTTACTGAGTCATGATTTAGTGTCATTTATTCATTTATTGATTGGATTGCTAATTTTCAATATTTGTGCTCACTTTTTGTTCACACTTATTGTTTTTTTGTTGTTGTTGTGCTACACTTGATATTGTAATTCATTAATTTCATTCATTTTGGTGTGGGAACGCATGACAGTGTGTAATGGCAAACATTTATCTAGTTTTTTTCTACACACAGGATTAGTTTTTGGGTAGCATGAATTTAGTTTTTTTAGGTTTGGACTTAACAAAAGTCCTGGGTCCTTTGGCTCTGGCCAAGTTCATTCAATTGGTAAAAGATAGATCAGAGTGTTGGCTTTTAAAAACAGACTCTTGATGGATGCTCTTCATTAATGGTAAAGGGGAGCTTCAGACTGCTGTTTCAGGCTCACTTTTTTGGTCCCTGAGGAGGGTGTGGACAGAAATTACCTGACCAATCAAGGGCCTGAGGAGTGGCAGGTCTTCACTAAGAGGGGTGTTTGTACTGAAAGGGTCTGAGCTGGAGGGTCTGTACTGAGGGTTTAGAATGGGAGGAGGAATCTGTAATGAGGGATTAGACTGGAGGGCTGTACTGAGTGGTAAGGCTGGATGGTGTGGTATATATTGAGAAGTTAGCCTGGAAGAGGAGGGTCTGTGCCGAGGGATTATGCTGGGAGGAGGGATTGTACTGGGGGGGGGGTCTGTACTGAGTGGGTATGTACTGAGAGTTTAGGATGGTAAGGGGGTATGTACTTGGGGGGGGGGTAGTCTGTACCTGAGACTTAGGTTGGGGGGGGGGGGGCTGTACTGGAGAAGGCTTGTACAGGAGAGGTCAGTACCAGGGACTGTGTACTGAAGGGTTAGGTTAGACACAGACCCTAGGACAACAATGTATTCTTTTAGGATCAACAGGTATATTTTTGCACTTTAGGAACAGATATAACAATGCTCTTTCAATCATATTTGAGGGGCTCAAGTGGGGAACTAATATGAGAAATTGATGATTGATAAAAATTTAGTATAATTTAAGCCAAAATTGAGCTGAAAAGGGGATGTTGTGAATGTCTGAAAAGTTTGAATGGCTCTCATTTTATAGCTGTATTGCACAAGACACTGAACTATAAACAAGGATGAGTGATAATGCTACATACATTTTTAAATAGTTATTTGTGAACCCATCACTGTATAACAATCTATCCCTGCTAACACAAAGAAGTGGCTGCAGGTGCTTTTGAGCTAGTATAGAAGGCTATAATATTGCAAGTAAATGTAAACCGTAGTGACACCAGAATCTTGGTACTGCATGGTGGCTATTAGTATCTATATACATGGGACAAGTATCTGTTATGTCCTTTCATCCATTTCATGTTTGTGGCACCCTCAGGCTAATTCTGACAAACCATTCTGCAGGGGATACATTCAGATGAAAAATCTGAGTCAAGATAATTGCGTCACACTGTGGTATGCATATATCACAAAAAGTATCATAATTGATGAATCACAAAGGGGTTGGTTTACAAAGAATTCACTAAATGGAAGAAATTCCTAAAATACTTTGCTCTACCTGGTGGTTCAATTCAGTATTTTCTGTTTAAAAACAATGATTTACATTTGAACAGCACAGGATATGGCCTATTTAAATTTTTTTTTCCCCATTCACACAGAAAAAATATACTTGCACTTTCACTGGCCAAATGGTTATGCAAATTCTTTATAATTCTGCTCCAATATGTCACATAAAACATATATAAATGAATAAGCAAATTAGATTTAAAATGTGAAAAATTCATATATAAATATTATTTCCTGCTGATGCTAAGCACAACCTCCTATTCTGTGCAGTGCTCCCTTAATAGATGTGCTTATGTAGTGCAAAGGTCTTGTACCGTCACAATCACTTCAAGTGGACACAAACTTACCTTACGGGATGTAGCTTCAATTATAAAAGGTTTGAACAGGCGTTCCCTTTTCTGTTTCAATATTTTTATTAAGAAAGTTTTGTTTTATGAACACAACAAGCTCAATATACGCCCATGCAGGGGGCCGAGCATAACAATAACTCAGGAACAGGTACATCCTGCTGACTTGTATTAGCCAAATAATAAAATGTAGGCGTTCCCTTTTCAACCAGGTTAGTTACATAGTTAAATAGTTAGCCTGGCTGAAAAAAGACAAAAGTCCATCCAGTTCAACCATAAAAAAAAAAGGCAAAAAAAAACCAGCAAAGCATGATCCAATTTGCTCCTGCAGGGAAAAAAAAATTCCTTCCTGATCCCGAGAGGCAATCGGATATTCCCTGGATCAACTTTACCTATAAATGTTAGTATCCAGTTATACTCTGTGTATCCAAAAAAGAATCCAGGCCTTTTTTTTAAAGCAATCCACTGAGCTGGCCAGAACCAACTCTTGAGGGAGTCTATTCCACATTTTCACAGCTCTCACTGGGAAGAAATCTTTCCGTGTTTAGAGATTAAATTTCTTTTCCTCCATATGTAAAGAGTGCCCCCTTGTCCTCTGTGTTGACCTTAGGGTGAATAGCTCTACACCAAGTTCACTATATGAACCACTGATGTATTTATACATGTTGATCATATCCCCCTTTAGTCTCCGCTCCTCAAGAGAGAATAAATTCAGTTCCTCTAATCTTTCCTCATAGCTGAGCTCCTCCATGCCTCTTATCAGTTTGGTTGCCCTTCTCTGTACCTTTCTCCATTTCCCCAATGTTCTTTTTGTGAATTGGTGCCCAAAACTGAACTGCATATTCCAGATGAGGCTTTACTAATGATTTGTACAGGGGTAAAATGATATCTCTCTCTCTGGAGTCTATACCTCTTTTAATACAAGAGAGGATTTTGCTCGCTTTAGAAACCGCATCTTGGCATTGCATGCCATTATTAAGCTTGTGATCTACCAGAACTCCCAGATCCTTCTCCACCATTGATTCCCCCAGTTGTACTCCCCCTAGTATGTATGATGCATGCATATTCTTAGCCCCCAAGTGCATAACCTTAAATGTATCAACATTAAACCTCATTTGCCACATAGTTGCCCAATTAAACAGTGCATTGAGGTCAGCTTGTAAATTGAAGACATCCTGTAAGGACGTTATTCCACTGCACAGCTTAGTGTCATCTGCAAAGACTGAAATGGGATTTTTTAATACCAGACCCTATATCGTTTATAAATATATTTAAAAAGTAAGGGTCCCAACACTGAACCTTGGGGTACACCACTGACAACCCTACACCATTCAGAGTATGAATCATTAACCACTACTCTTTGAATACGATCTTTTTTTTCAGTTTTCTATCATCTACATACAAATTTTTCCAAGCCCATAAACTTTACCTTACACATTAGTCGTGTGTGGGAAACTGTGTCAAACGCTTTTGCAAAGTCCAAGTATACCACGTCCACAGCAACCCCTCTGTTCAAGCTTTTGCTCACCTCCTCATAAAAAGAAATCAGATTTGTTTGTCAACTTCTGTCTTTCATGAATCAATGCTG